GATTGTGAAACAGCAAGATGAGTATATTCATGAGGTTTGGGTGATTGTGTGTGAATTATTAGTGTAATAAAATGATGAACTAGTAAGATACAATGAGCTCTTTATGAGGTGGTCTAAGTGTTACTGTGTGATTATTACTTTACAGTAATCATTGATAGCTTCATCTTTACTTTAGCTGAAATTTAACTGCTTTGGTGGGTTACTAAGTACTTGATATATATTTTGAATCTATTCCTTAACTGCAAAATTTCTGATACAGTTTGATTAATTACATCTGTTATTTTTTTCTACCAGAAACCACGGGGACTTACTATGTTTTACATGGAAACAAGGAAGGATGATGGTTCATTAAATAACATTGAGATTGTAAAACTGAAAGATAAGCTAGGTAAGTCTTAAGATTTGGAGGTGTAAATACAAAATTAACTTTATTGTTCCTATGGGTCTGTTTTGTTTTGTTTTGGTTTTATTGCACTTCTAGGCTGAAATATTGAGAGGTCATAAATTAAATTGCTTTATATGATAGAAAGCTAATGGTGAAAAGCATTATTTATCAGCAGTAGTATCCCCTTTGGAATTCTAAAATAATGCTGCTTCTGTTATCTTTTTTGACTGATATAACTAGTCATGAAAGCAAACTATCAATATTGCCATCGCATCTAATTCTCAAAGATGATAATAGTGATAGTAGCATTTTTATTTTCCTCCATCTCTTTCTTCAGGTACTCGACAGCTGCCAACAGCTGAGCTTTTGCTTGATGGCTCTGTGGCCTATCAGGTGTCTGAAGAAGGTCGTGGTATTGCTTCCATTGCTAATATGCTGACCATTACACGCCTTCATAATGCAATATCCGCCTGTGCAGCCATGAGGAGGCAAGTTATGAAAATAATTCGTATGGATCTATTTCATCATTAATTGATAAAAATATATTGACAACAGTTTGACTTTGTATATAGAGAATGTGAAAGAAATGTATTTAGAGATGGATAACTTGTTGCTGCTTTAGAATGCAAGTATGGCAAACTCATTCACAAAAGAATATACTACCACCTATTTAGAAATCAGAAGTGGCCAGAAGGTAATGTTGATGAATTTGAGGTTAAGACTTGCGACTGAGATGTCTTTAAGCAGTGGTTTTGTATTTGAAAAAATTATCATAAACTTTAGTAATAAGCTGTGTTTTGGCTTTTTAGGAAATAGTTCTTGAAACAGTATTGTTGGAAATGAAAGGAATCGACAAGAGACTACTTTATAGTTTTTCCACAGGATATATATATTTTTTAAATAAACAGCAATAGTTACATTGAGGGAACTGTAAACATGACTCCTTTTTCACACAGGGTTCTGCAGCTGGCTCGAGATTACAGTCAGCGGCGTTCAGCTTTTGGAAAGGTGGTCGAGTCTCACACTTTGCACCAGCTAACAGCATCGAGGATGGAGGTCATTACAAGAGGCTGTGAAATCCTTACCTATGAGGTTGCAAGGTAAACTCTTTTTCTGAAGATCATATAACAGAAAATTTTCCTTCCTTATTGATTTTCTTCTCTTGCTTGAGAGATATGACCACATCAAAAGAAGCGCAGGTAATATACATCTACTTCTGTGATGCAAAAAAGAAAATAAGATTTAGGATTCATGAAAGTTTTCAGATTTTACTCTAGTTGCTAACAGTTCTAGAATAGCATTGTCAAGATTCTTTTAAAATGATGATAAAGCTAATATGTGCTGAGGTTAGGAAAATGACTTCTACTGACTAACCAGTACAGCACAGATATGGTTCCATGTGTTTAATTACTTTGTCATTATTCAGAATTCTTGGAAGAGAGGAAGCAGGTGTAGCATCAAAGGAAGACAGCTTAGTGCTCCGCCTCATGACGCCCATCATGAAGCTCTTCACTGCGAAAATGGCCATGAGCGTGGTGTCAGAGGGGCTTGAGTGCTTTGGGGGCCAGGGCTACATTGAGGATACTGGGCTCCCTGTCCATCTACGGGATGCTCAGGTTAGTAGGTTGTGCATAGCAGACCATGAAGGGAGGATCGCTGTCTGTAGGAATATATATTTATATAAAGTATATGTATATAAAGTATATATGTATGTATGTATGTATGTATATATATATATATATATATATATATATATATATATATATATATATATACATACATATTTTACAATTGACAGTTTGTAATCTTCACTTTCACTTTCAAATACAGGTGAAAAATATATGTCTACAGACAATGAAAAGATGGGAACAGAATAAACCTGAAATATTCCGTACAATTTTGGACAGGTTTTACCAATATGGGAAGGAACGACAAACATCATGTCCCTTGACTTTCTCCGAGCAGTAGTGAAGACAGAGGGTCAGGCTCTCACTGCTTTGTATAAGGATGTTAAAGGTATGGAGAAATGGCCTGATGGAACATATTTTTTGAAGCACATTTATTATTTTGCTCTAAAAGACAAGTATCCTTTTATGGTGTATTGTGCATAATAGA